AGTTTGCAAATTCATAATAATAATAGCTGGGCCTGGCGTGGTGACTCATGTCTGCAATCCCAGCACTTTGGGAGGCCGAGGCAGGAGGATTATTTGAGGTCAGGGGTTCAAGTCCAGTCTGGCCAACATGGTGAAACCTCGTCTCTACTAAAAATACAAAAATTAGCTGGGTGTGGTGGCAGGTGCCTGTAATCCCAGCTACTTGGGAGGCTGAGACAGAAGAATAGCTTGAACCCAGGAGGCAGAGGTTGCAGTGAGCCAAGATCACACCACTGTACTCCAGCCTGGGTGACAGAGCTAGACTCTGTCTCATAATAATAATAATACTAATAATAATAATAGCTAACATTTATTGAGTACTTGCTACTCTTGCTACCAAGCACTCTCTTAAGTACTTTTTGTGTATCACATCATTTAAATCCCATAAGTCCCTTATGAGATACATACTGTTATTATCTGAGCTACCATATTGCACAAAACCAGAAGGTACCATTCATACTATAGCCCATGTGAATGACAACTCTCTGGAACTATGTAATGTGGTGGCTCAGATTATTACCTTCAGTTTACTCACAGAGAAACTGAGGCAGAGTATAAGTTTAAGTAACATATCCAAAGTCAAATGGCTAGTTAGTGGCGTATCAGGGTTTTGAATCCAGGCAGTCTGGCTCCAGAGCTCACACAGTGAACCACTATACCATATCTATTTCTAGGATAGGGAGAATACACCTTGGTGGTGTCTCCCAGAAACAGGAGCTAGGCTAGGACTAACGTATTTTAGAAAGGAATCACATCTTACTATATTTTAGAATTTAAAAAATCTTCATCAAACATAAATGAAATGCTGCAATAAAACATTTTGAAGAGACTTTATTAATGGTTTAGAATTACTGTGCTAGATAAACCAGTCAAAAATAGACTAATACTGTATGATTCCACTTATATGAGGTGTTATTGTAGTAAAATTCAGAGACAAAAAGTAAAATAGTGGTTGCTAGAGCCTAGGGAGAGGGGAGAATGGGAAACAGTTTGTTCACTGGGCACAGAACTTCACTGTTGCAAAATAAAAAAAAAAAAAAAAAAAGAAAAACAGGAGATTGGTTACACAACAGTGAATCTACTTAACACTACTGAACTGTATACTTAAAAATGGTTAAGATGGTAAATTTTATGTTACATATATTTTACTATTTTTAAAAAATGTACTGCACTGGAAATATATTTATTTATTTAATAATTTATTTAATAATGTTCTTATTTAATAACAATATATAAAATATATTGTTCGGTGCCAAAGGCAAGTTGCAAAGGAGGACATGTAACAAACATTTCTTTTTAAAACATAAAATATGTTATTAGGTTGGTGCAAAAGCAATTGACATTACTTTAAATGGCAAAAACCGCAATTGCTTTTGCACCAACTGAATAGTAAATGCATAGGAAAAAATCTGGAGTTTTACATACCAAATTCATAATGGTGGTAATTTTTGAAAAGTAGGATTATGAGGACTTTCATTTTTTATATTATATTTTTCTATAACATTTGAATTTTAAAATAATGCATGTATTACTTTTGTAGGCAAAAAACAGGATAAAATCTTTTTAAAGACCTTAGCCTCCATAATCAGCACATTTTCAGATGCTCTTATCACAATGGAAATGATTTTTTAAGCAATTAATACTAGATGAAATGAAACAACCTACTTTAAACTTTCTTCTGGCTAGGCGTGGTGGCTCATGCCTGTAATCCCAAAACTTTGGGAGGCTGAAGCAGATGGATTACTTGAAGCCAGGAGTTGGAGACTAGCCTGGTCAACATGGTGAAACCCCGTCCTACTAAAAATACACAAATTAGCTGGGTGTGGTGCCACACGTCTGTAATCCCAGCTACTCAGGAGGTTGAAGCAGGGGAATTGCTTGAACCTGGGAGGCAGAGGTTGCAGTGAGTCAAGATCACGCCATTGCACTCCAGCCTGGGCAGCAGAGCAAGACTCTGTCTCAAAATAATAATAATGATAATGATAATGATAATGATACTAAACTTTCTTCAAGAGAAAATATTTTTATTAAATTTTAGAGGAAAATGTATCTTTTATATTTACTAATTGCATTTACATGTGTATATATGTAAAAGTTTCTTTTTAGTTTTTAATTAATTAATTAATTTTTTGAGACAGAGTTTCACTCTTGCTGCCTAGGCTAGAGTGCAATGGCTTGATCTTGGCTCACCAGAACCTCCACTTCCCAGGTTTAAGTGATTCTCCTGCCTCAACCTCCCGGGTAGCTGGGATTACAGGCATGGGCCACCATGCCCAGCTAATTTTGTATTTTTAGTAGAGACGGGGTTTCTCCATGTTGGTCAGCATGGTCTTGAACTCCCGACCTCAGGTGATCCACCCAGCTTGACCTCCCAAAGTGCTGGGATTACAGGTGTGAGCCACTGCATCCGGCCAAGCTTCTTTTTAATAAATAACTTTAAAAACTCTAGTTCTGAGAATATAATCAAGGGCAAAAAATTTATTCTCATCTTTGGCAAAATAAAAAAATATTAAGGAACTTTAAGAGGAATCACAGTCTATTCCCTTCATTCCTCTTTTAGATGAGGAAAGATCTTTAAAAAATCAATGAATTTGCTTCAAGCTCCATAAGTAGTGGCAAAATTAATATGAGAGTTTTTGCCTCCAAATTCTGAATTTGGTGCCCTTCCTATACATGTCATTTTATTTTCAATTTATATCTGATACGAAACAATGAAGAAAAACCTTAAACCAATTAAACAGTTATGATTAAAGTCTTCTAGTTTCTTATAGGCCATTTTTATATTGTATTTAGACTTGAATAGTTGTACAATCCTCTTTTAAAATGGACAAAAAGTCTATATATTTAACCAATTAAACATAATTTTTGATGCCATGTTGTAATTAGCTTCTGTTTTTTACTGTGACTGCCAATAGAATTTTAGAACCACTACAGAATTAAGTATTTTGAAAAGATCTTCACATAAATTCAGAATATTTAATATTGGTTCATTACTATTATCTAATATGTAGCTATATCCAAATTTTCTCCTAAATTTTCCTTTTTTTTGTTTTTTGTTTTTTGTTGCCCAGGCTGGAGTGCAGTGGTGCAATTATGGCTCACTCCAGCCTTGACTTCCCAGGTTCAAATGATCCTCCCACCTCAGCCCCGCAAACAGATGGGACTACAGGCTCAGGCCACCGTGCCCAGCTAATTTTTAAATTTTTTTTTTATAGAGATAGGAGTCTCACTATGTGACCCAGGCTGGTTTTGAGTCTTGAACTCCTGGCCTCAAGCGATCCTCTCACTTTGGCTTCCCAAAGTGCTGGGATTATAGGTGTGAGCCACCATGCTGGGCAAATTTTCCTTTTTAGCAATTTATTTTTTTTGGTCTAGGATTCAGACCAGGATCACACATTGCATTAATTGTCATGTCATTTACTTTAATTTGGAACAGTTAGTTCTTTAGCCTGTCTGTGTCTTTCATGACACTGACATTTTTCTGAACAATACAGGTCAATTGTTATGTAAAATTTAAATTTTAGTTGATATGAATTGAAAACTATTATTAATTTAGAAGACAAAGAGTCTTCTAATATATATGATAAACAATACTTTCCATTCTTTTGGAGGGATATAAAAACACTGCCCATTTTGCTGAAAAGATAAGTAAAATGATGGTTACCATAAAAAAAAGTACACATGATCGCCACCTTGAACTTGTTCATAGAATTTGAAAGTGTGTTGGCCGGGCGCGGTGGCTCAAGCCTGTAATCCCAGCACTTTGGGAGGCCGAGACGGGCGGATCACGAGGTCAGGAGATCGAGACCATCCTGGCTAACACGGTGAAACCCCGTCTCTACTAAAAATACAAAAAACTAGCCGGGCGAGGTGGCGGGCGCCTGTAGTCCCAGCTACTCGGGAGGCTGAGGCAGGAGAATGGCGTAAACCCGGGAGGCGGAGTTTGCAGTGAGCTGAGATCCGGCCACTGCAGTCCAGCCCGGGATACAGAGCAAGACTCCGTCTCAAAAAAAAAAAAAAAAAAAAAAAGAAAGTGTGAATAGGGATAAATAAGTATCAATTTCTAATAGCCTGTTTAGCATCTGCTGCTTTTTTTCTTTCTTTCTTTTTTTTTTTTTTTTAATAAGATTGTTTCTACACCTACTCAGCCATACTTACTGGGAAGATAATCAGTACTTTTTATTTCAATAAGGATGCTGAGCTTCTATTATGCAACCAATTATGGCCTTTATGAATCTTTTTGAAGCTTTATCAATGTGCTGTGATCCTCAATTGGTAATCATTTTATTTTATTAACTTCAATTTAAAGTGTTAATAAAAATAGTTGAATTTAAAAGCCAGTTACACTGTTTCTGTTTGTGTAGCCATGTGGATCTGTTAACTCTGTGGCTCAGAGTAAACTACAGGACTTCTTGCCTCTGGAAATAATGTGAGGACCCTGGTATCTGCCTCTTGCTTAAGAAGGAAATACTGAAAAATGAAGCTGACATATGTGAAACTTCTTGTATTCTTTCAAAGGACCTTAGAAATAGCATCATTAGGTACTTTATGTAAATGTTAAATAGGAGACCAAACAATTGTCACAGACTAGAGAGGCTGGGACGACATGACAGCTCAATGCAATGTGGTACCTTGACTGGATCCTGAAACAGAAAGAAAACACCAGTGGGAAAACTGCTGAAATCAAAGTCTGGAGTTTAGTTATATAGTCATGAACCAATGTCATTTTCTTAGTTTTGATAAATCTACTATGGTAATATAAGATATTAACAATGTGGGATATTGGGTGATGGATATATGGGAATTCTCTGTACTAATCTTTGCAACTTCCTTATACATCTAAAATTCTTCCAAAATAAAAGGCTTATTTAAGAAAATAGGCAGCCATTTGCTTGACCCATTGTTAAAATAATAATATAGAATGTCTAGTAATGAATTAAATAATTTTACTTAGTACTTACTGTGGATGTTGTAGCCTATTACACTTAGTGATACAAAGATAGTAGCCAAGTAATCCAAAAATAACCAAAAATACTCCAGCAGCAATCAATCCAGTCAGAAGGCCCATAACGTCAATTTTCTCTCTGTTGCCATCTTAAAATAAATAATTAAAATAACATAAATATAACCACTATATAGCATCACCTGTGATTTCAACAAATTTAATCCTGGGTCTAAATACATTATACAGCATCTAATCATTGATGTTGACTTCCTTCAACTCTTTGTGCTAGAGAATCTACCTGAAAAAAATTTAAATGTCACTTCTAAAAGTCCTAGTTATGGTTATTCATTTATTTATTAAAATATAAATATATTTTTTTATTTTAAATATATTTATTTAAATATTTAAAATATACTATTTGTTTTAATAATATTTAAAATGTACTATTTATGTTTTAATAATATTTAAAAGTTACTATTTATATTTTAATAATATTTAAAAGGTACTATTTATATTTTAATAATATTTAAAAGGTACTATTTATATTTTAATAATATTTAAAAGTATATTTAATATTTTAATAATATTTAAAAGGTATTTAAAAGGTACTATTTATATTTTAATAATATTTAAAAGTACTATTTTATTTTAATAATATTCAAAATGTATTTAAGTTTATTTATTTAAAAATTATTTATTTAAAATATTTAAAATATCCATTTATTAAATGAATAATATTCAGCATTAAGTGGGATAAACATATTCGCTGATCAACTAGACATACTTTGGTATTAACCACTGAGATAATATTTATTAAGCAACTCAGGGTAGCTATGCAGTATAACCTGCCATGGAGGAGGCCCTACCTAAGAGGAATGAAAGAATAGCTGAAAAAAAAAAAACACCTGACTAAAATGCAGCTAAAGATGATCAATACAGATGAGATAAAGGATCTCTCCCCTCTACAAGTTACTTAATTCCATCCAACAATCTTAATTTATCTAGCATAAATGTTCCATCTGCCTTTAATGGTAAAAAAGAAAAAAAGTTAAAATAGCTTACATCTTGAAACGAATAGAATCTATTTTTATTCTCTGCAAGTCTTGACTTAGCTGAGCTGTTTAAAACAGCTTTAAGCCCATTATCTCATTTCCCTAGTATCTCACCAAACTTGATTTTCAGTGTGTAAATAGATGAATCTGTCCTTTTCTGTCTGAGATAGCCCAGTGTATAGTTGAGAAATCTCCTTGGGTTTATAAGGTATGTATGTTGAGCAACAACCAAACTCAAACAATAAAACTAAAATGTATTACAATAGAGAGAGGGTGAGAAAAGCATTAAATTTGATCAGTTCTTGTTTTACCTGATTTTGTGGTTGGTCCTTTAGCTGAATATTTCTGCCAAAATGCGATCTAAAAAAAAGGTAAAATTCCCAAGTTTATTCAATATCTTTATTATCATATTTCATTTGGTCCTAATGACCTAGACTAGGGGTAGTAAGCTCTTGGCATGTACCATAGGTAGGAGACCAGTTCATTCAAGCTGAAGGGTGTGACTCACTCTAATTAAAGCATTACCACCCACAACTGCCTCTGCCATCTAATTGTCAAGGGATTACTGCCAGTCCCAGCTCTTTACTACTTTGCCTGCTATTTTCCCTTCACCTGACTGAAGCCCCCACTAAGGCACTGGGGGAAATTATTGCATTAGAGAGTAGGTGAAAGTACCAAAGGTAGAAGTTGACGCCATGGACCCACTATCAGGTTTGAAAAGGAGACTGAAGTTTTCTATGGGAGGTAAGCCCTCAGTTTGTCTCTGGAGATTTTTTTTTTTTTTCTTTTCATACAGATTGCTCTGTTGCCCAAGCTGGAGTGCAGTGGTGTGATCATGGCTCACTGCAGCCTTGACCTTCCAGGCTCAAGCAATCCTCCCACCTCAGCCTCCTGAGTAGCTGGAACTACAGGCGCATGCCACCACGCCCAGGTAATTTTTTCTTTTTTGTGGAGATGGGGTTTCATTATGAAGCCCAGGCTGGTGTCGAACAAGCATGAGCCACTGTGCCCTTTTGGGAGATCTTATTGAAAGGTATTTATTGATTTGGGAAGACATTGTTGAGACAATTTTAAGTTTAGTGCTACTTGAGAGAATACAAATGAATTTTAAGGAACTATGATAAAATTATAAAAGGTTTGTGGAAAACAGAATAAAATTCCAACAGGCACAACTACACAGTATGTGCTTCATTTTCCTCCTTAATAGAAACAGCAAATACTTGTAGGGAATGGGAGGGTGGGCACAATTATGGAAAAGTTCCATTACCACCTGCATCTGAAGGATACCTAGGGAGGTTCTTATTAACCAAAAAGTAAAATAGGACTCTTAAGAAAGGGAAAAAGGAGCTAGGGTTATGAAATCTACAAAAGTAAAGAATTTAGGGCCAGGCATGGTGGCTCATGCCTGTAATCCTAGCACTTTGTTAGGCCGATGGGGACGGATTGCCTGAGCTCAGGTGTTTGAGACCAGCCTGGGCAACATGGTGAAACCCTGTCTCTACTAAAATACAAAAAATTAGCCAGGCGTGGTGGCATGTGCCTGTAGTCCCAGCTGTTTGGGAGGCTGAGGCAGGAGAATGGCTTGAACCTGGGAGGTGGAGGTTGCAGTGAGCCGAGATTGCTCCACTGCACTCCAGCCTGGGCGACAGAGCGAGACTCCATCTTCAAATAATAATAATAATAATCATCATCATCGCAGTTACTTAACATTTTTCAAGACTATGCCAGATTATCACAGAAACAATGCTATCTGTTTTGTACCTTATCAAGATGAACAGAATTTAGTTATATTCTAAGAAAGAACTTTAAAAAATATTTCCCTTAAATTACAATGGTAGATGAAATAATACCAGGGCTATATATTTTGTATCCTTAGTGCCAAGGAGAATACCTGGCACATAGCAGACTTCCAGTAAATACCTCAAATACAAATATGGGTCATCAAAAAAGTAAGGTCACCGATAGGACAAATTACTCAGTCATAAATGATTGAAGCTTGAGTTAGAGCACTAACCACAAAATCTTGGAGTTAAATTCACTTTGCCCCATGATTAATTTTTTTTTTTTTTTTTTTTTTAAGATGGAATCTCGCTCTGTCGCCCAGGCTGGAGGGCAGTGGCCGGATCTCAGCTCACTGCAAGCTCTGCCTCCCGGGTTTATGCCATTCTCCTGCCTCAGCCTCCCGAGTAGCTGGGACTACAGGCGCCCGCCACCTTGCCCAGCTAGTTTTTGTATTTTTTTTAAGTAGAGACGGGGTTTCACCGTGTTAGCCAGGATGGTCTCGATCTCCTGACCTCGTGATCCGCCCGTCTCGGCCTCCCAAAGTGCTGGGATTACGGGCTTGAGCCACCGCGCCCGGCCCCCCATAATTAATTTTAAATATAACAAACATTAAACACACAAAATCACAACAGTCAATAATTTAGTAACTACTATGAATTAGGTGTAAAGTCAAGTCTAAATAGGTTAATTATCATTTTAAGGAAGTAGAAAGAGATAACAGGTACATAATCCTGATTTTGTTTAAGGCACAGCATCGCTAATAACTCAAAGTGCCACTTTCTTAGTACAATTTAACATTTGCAGCCAATTAACATAATCAACCACATTACCGTTTTATCTTCATCCACAAAAATCTCTCTGGCTTCCTCATAATTGCAAAGTTCTTCATTGCACTCTCGTTCTACGTCGCCGGGAGTGAAGAGCTCCAGATCAAATCTATTATACAGGAGGCGTCTACGTATGAAAAAGTTTGCTTCTTCTTTTGATGTAAACACTAATAAAGTAATAAAAAAAGACTTAAACATTGATGGAAAATAGTCAAAAAATTCCTGTTTTAATTGTGGAAAAAAGTGAAGAGTTCTCTTGATATGGCTAAATTATACCAAACTTTTTTGTAAAGCTTTATTATCTAATCCCCCCCCCCAAAAAAAAAGAAAAGAAAAAGCATCAGTGAAGATCATTTCTGATAAATATGAAATACAAAATTAGCATAATTTCACTGGAGTTGGTTATGTCCAAAATTAGTAGTATAAATAAAAATTATTTAAATATCTCTTTTTCCCTCCAGATAATTATTTTTCCAATCACTGACAGGTCTATTTCTAAAGAATTGGTTCCCTATTATCTTGACTGAGGAAAATTAGTGGGGCATCATGGACAACATATTGAATTGAGAGTTAGAAGACAGATTTTTGGTTCTGATTTAGCTTAAGCTCTCAGCTGTGTATTCTGAGATAAGTCACTTATATTCTTTGGGCTACCATTTCCTCATTTATAACATTGGGAATTAAATAATCACTAATATCTCTTTGTTATTAATTATTATTATTATTATTATTATTGAGACAGGGTCTCACTCTGTTGCCCAGGCTGGAGTGCAATGACATGATCTCAGCTCACTGCAGCCTCCGCCTCCCGGGTTCAAGCGATTCTCCTGCCTCAGCCTCCCAAGTAGCTGGGACTGCAGGCACGTGCCACCATGCCCAGTTAATTTTTGAATTTTTAGTAGATATGAGGTTTCACTATTTTGGCCAGGCTGGTCTTGAACTCCTGACCTCATGTTCCACCCGCCTCAGCCTCCCAAAGTGCTGGGATTACAGGTGTGAGCCACCGCACCCTGCCAAGTTCTTAAATTACAAATTAATACTTTTATATTAAAATTACTGTATTCAAGTTTATGCTAAAACATACAATTCTAAACTTCTAAATCAATGAAACTATAAGCTAATTATAAGATTCAACTAAAGACATTTAGTCCTTTCCAAAGTAGTAGCTCCCTCTACTGTACACCCCAAATATGTGTCTATAATGTTTTATAAGGTTCCTTTTACATTTGACGGGGGAAGATAAACAGTAAACACTACAGGTTAAGAATAGGTTGACACGGCCGGGCGCGGTGGCTCAAGCCTGTAATCCCAGCACTTTGGGAGGCCGAGACGGGCGGATCACGAGGTCAGGAGATCGAGACCATCCTGGTGAACATGGTGAAACCCCGTCTCTACTAAAAAATACAAAAAACTAGCCAGGCGAGGTGGCAGGCGCCTGTAGTCCCAGCTACTCGGGAGGCTGAGGCAGGAGAATGGTGTAAACCCGGGAGGCGGAGCTTGCAGTGAGCTGAGATCTGGCCACTGCACTCCAGCCTGGGCGTCAGAGCGAGACTCCGTCTCAAAAAAAAAAAAAAAAGAATAGGTTGACACAAAACCAAAGCATCCAACCATGGCAGTATTTTCAAAACCCACAAACTTTAAACTTGTTCTGGTGTCACACAAACAAAGCTTAAGAGATTTTGCTTCAGATCATATTACTGAGACTGGAATTCAGAAACTGAGAACTACATCACAACGCTTAAAAGAATTTAAAAGTGCAGATACTTCTCACTGCTCACCATTTCTAAAGAAAGAATGTATTAACGTAGGCAATTGAAAGACTGTTCATGAGAGATCATGGTCTGGAAAACTTATACTGATTTGTGAGGGACCTCAAGTTGTTTGGCCCTTTGAGGATAGTCACATTTTGTCCAAGATATTTTTTCCACAAATGAACTGTCTTTCCAAACAGGTCCGAATGTTCTAGAACTATTTTGTCTAATACGATAGCTATTAGCCACAGATGGCTATTGAGCACTTGAAATGTAGGTTGTGGCTGGGAGTGGTGCCTCACACCTGTGATCCCAGCACGCTGAGGCAGGTGGATTAGATCACCTGAGCCCAGGAGTTGGAGACCAGCCTGGGCAACAAAGTGAAAACCCGTCTCTACAAAAAATACAAAACTTAGCCCAGTGTGGTGGTGCATGCCTGTAGTTCCACTACTTGGGAGGCTGAGGTGGGAGGATCACTTGAGGCCAGGAGGCAGAAGTTGCAGTGAACTGAGATCACACCACTGCCCTCCAGCTTGGGTGACAGAGCAAGATCCTATCTCTAAATAAATAAATAAATAAATAAGAAACGTGGCTTGTCTGAATTGAAATGTGCTGTAAGTGTAAAATACACGTAAGGATTTCAAAGACTTAGTGTAAAAAAAAAAGAATGTGAAATGTCTCCATAATGTTTTATATTGCTTATATTTTAAAATGGTGATAGTTCAGATACTAGATTAAATTAAATACATTCTTAAAATTAATTTCACCTATTACTTTTTAGTTTTAAAATGTGGCAATTAGAAAAATTTAAATTAGGTAGGTAGTTCACATTATATTTTGGGGGAGCAGCACTATTCTACAGTGTCCATTTTTATGTTATAAATAACAGATATGGGCTATTCGAACCAAGTGGGAAGCTAAAATGGGATATTTGGTGATCGTTGTTTTAAAAAGTATTCTAAAAGGTAGATAGAGGGGCTAGTGTGATGAAATATTTCTATTCTGTTTCCTCCTTTGTCTTTTTATAGATTTTATATTACCACTAAATGGAAATAGAATGAAAACTTTTCCAAGCCTCTGTCACCCTTCATTGGGATTCCTACAATGGTCTTCCAAGGGTCTCCTTGCTGCTCTACCGTCTGTTTTTAACATAACAGTCAAAGAGGGCCCTTTAAAAGATAAGATACACTTTGTTCCTACTTTGCTTTTTAAAAACCTTCTAACAGCAATTCCACCTCCTGCAGAGTAAAAGCCAAAGTCATTACAATGGCTTACAAGGCCCTTCTTGGCCTGGTCCCCAAGCCCTTACCCCTCTAACCTCATCTCCTGCCACTATCCCTCACATATTCTGTTGTAGCTATGCTGGCTTCCAACACACCTGGTTCTCTCTGGCCTTTGTACTTACTGTTTCTTCTGCACAGAACTTAATTCTTTCAGTTTGCTCTCTCACATCCTTCAGGATTTTGTTCAATGCTACCTTGAACCCCCATCCCTACCCACCCACCCCTGGCACTCCCTGTCCACACTCTGCCTTTCTCCATAGTATTCATCACCATCTGGTTTTCTATATGCTTTACATATTTGTTACCACTCTGTTCTCCTCACTAGAAGGAAAGCTCCATTAAAGCAGGGATGTTGGTTCTTGGCCTATAAGAGGTGCTCAAAAAATTACTTAGTGAATGAACAAACTCAACTTTGCTATAGTGGGAGGAAACTCTTGGACCTAAAGTCTACCAGTTGAAGCAATTCATAGGTATAGTCTGGTGTTTCTCAGCTCGGCATAGGTTTAAAGTATCAAACTATTGATGAAACAACCCATGGCCTGCCTCACTTAGCTATACTTACTTCATGAAATCTAAGTTCAGAATGGAGAATTAGATATCTGCCTCTGCATACTTCTCAAATATGTCCAGATGCTTACATTTTATTGGCTAAAAAGAGCAGTGCCAAATTTCTTATGACAGTCTTCTGTTCCAGTAGGCTGAGTTATTAAAAATACACCCCCATGGAACTCAAAAGCTACTTTGATAGGGGAAACAAAAAAAAGGAGAGCCACAAATATTTTTATTTTTCCTGAAATAATATTTATGCCAATATCATAAATATGATATTTATGATTAATCATATTATGACTAATACTGTATTAAATGTGTCTTCCAGGGGCTGCTGTTTGCCACTTCCCTGAGTGTGCAAGTTCTGATTCTGTCAGTGGCTGACCTTTAGTGCCAGATCAGATTTTTCCCTGCATCCCTTATGATCTCGGGAGAAATACTGTCTTTTGCTACTGGATTCTAAGTAAGCCTGAACTTGCTTTTCATTGAAAGGAAGCAAACTTCCTTGCCCTTGAAACAGCCTTGGCTTTCAGCAAGAGCTCCTATTTTCCCCTTGACCATGGCTGGAGGATGCAATGGCCTTGGCTCTGCTTCCTTAGATTCTCTACCCTTCTTTATCTTTCCCGTCTTAGACTATCCTAAGAGGCTGTCTGTGCATTTCACTGCTATAAATTCACCAACCCAGATATTCCATTCTCTTCCTCTCCTTTATCTCCTCGTGTTTTCTAAATAAGCTCCTTTTTAGTCATTTTAACTCCACCCTCATGCTTTACCAGAATTTAGGGCTGGGCATGGTAGCTCACGCTTGTAATCCCAGCCCTTTGGGAGGCCAAGGTGGGCGGATCACCCGAGGTCAGGAGTTCAAGACCAGCCTGGCTAACATGGTGAAACTCCGTCTCTACTAAAAATACAAAATAATTAACTGGGCACAGTGGCACGCACTTGTAAATCCCAGATACTCAGGAGGCTGAGGCAGGAGAATTGATTGAATCCAGGAGGCGGAGGTTGCAGTGAGCTGTGATTGTGCCACTGCACTCCAGCCTGGGAGACAAAGTGAGACTCCGTTTCCAGAAAAAAAAAAAAAAAGATTTTCGCCAAAGGTCCTTTATTTCCAGTTACTCTTCGTATCTCCATTTATTATAGCCCATTTGCAGATGGAAGGCATTGACTTCTCTGCCATGCAACTCTCTTGAGGTCGAGTTACTGCTACTCACTCTTTCCTCTGCTCTCAGTTCTGTGTTCTGGCTTCTGTCATACAGTCGATGGAGATCATCTGTTTAACAAACACCCTGCCTCCTGCAACCAGATGAAGATGTCCTCCAGGGCAGAGATTGCAGTCTTTCATTTCTATGTTTCCACCAACAGCATGGGGCCTGGCACTTAGCATGTGTTCATAAAGTGGTGACTGACTGAACAATCTGTCTTTTCAAACGTGTCAGATCCCTCATTCACATTTCCATAGACATCTCCAGCCCTCCACACTCAAGTATGATCTCTAAATTCCTTCCATAGCTTGTGGTGTCCTTGAGACTGTCAGTTATTTATTTATTTATTTATTTATTTATTTATTTATTTATATTTTTTTAGATGGAGTCTCACTCTGTTGCCCAGGCTGGAGTGCAGTGGCACGATCTCAGCTCACTGCAGCCTCTGCCTCCCAGGTAGCTGGGATTATAGGTACGTGCCACCACGCAAGGCTAATTTTTGTACGGGGTTTCACTATGTTGGCCAGGCTGATCTCGAACTCCTGATGGCAGGTGATCCACCCACCTCGGCCTCCCAAAGTGCCAGGATTACAGGCATGAGCCACCATGCCAGCGACAGTGTCTCTTATACCTGTGTCATGTGAATGAATGATTGCACTCACAATCATTTTACGGAAGAGCATCTGAGTATGGAATCTTAAAAGTGCAATCTGTCACCCAGGCTGGAGTGCAGTGGTGCGATCTGGGCTCATTGCAAGCTCCGCCTCCTGGGTTCACGCCATTCTCCTGCCTCAGCCTCCCGAGTAGCTGGGACTACGGGTGCCAGCCACCACGCCCGGCTAATTTTTTGTATTTTTAGTAGAGACGGGGTTTCACTGTGTTAGCCAGGATGGTCTCGATCTCCTGACCTCGTGATCCACCCGCGTCGGCCTCCCAAAGTGCTGGGATTACAGGCGTGAGCCACCGCGCCCGGCCAAAAGTGCAATATTCTAAGTGGACTTACATATATGGTGCAGCTCGAGAGGGACTAAAAAGGATCTTCTTCTAAAATCTTTCCCTATCCCTCTAGCTAGCCTATCCAGTTGCTTAGAATTCTGTCATCAGAGTTTCATACTTTTGGGCTAATGGATTGTTCTATCTCAACACACACACACACACACACACACACACGGCTGTATTAATCATTAATAAAGTCAGTTAGGAGTATTAGTGTAACAGATCCTTCCCAAATGAAAATGAGCTGAGAATCGGATCTGATGAGAAGGGATAAGAGACAGGAACCTGTGGGGATGTGAATCCAGAGTCCTGGCACTGGGTGGGGAAGCACCATGAATAGTCAGGGAGAAGGATGCTGAGAGCTAGAGGCTCTTTTTTTTTTCCTTTCTGGTTTTACTAGGTTAGGCTTTTAAAATATAGGCAGGAAACAAACTGTTAATGATCTGAAACCTAAAAACTGTGGACTTCTAAGTTAGCAAGCCCCAAACCTAATCTTTTCTCAACTAGCTGCTTTTATCTAGACAACTAGACCATCTGAAGTCAAAAAGGACCTCAGAGATCATTTTACGCCCCACCCCCATCACTTTTACAGATGAAGACATTCAAGCCAAACGGGATTAAGTTATCTCGCCCAGGGTCTCAGAACAAGTCCAGACTAGATCCTGGACTACCCCGTTCGCCTTTCCAGGAAGAACAAGTAATTACGCTCATTATAATCGCCACACAGCTTCATCTAGAGAAACGTCACTCACTGATTTTCAGTAGCTGAAATAGGTTTTCCATTCAATTAACCACAAACGAGGTCTTACATGTATACTTATTAAAGGAAACTCACAGAAATCAAGTTCTACAAATTGCAGTTAAAGAACATAAAAAACCACAACTTTGCCAAATATACCACAAATTAAACTAAAGGATATTTTAGTATTTCTATGATTGATGGGGGTATGTAATTTCAAATACTGCACTTTCTCACTGAGATCTGTGCTACGCGGCTCCAGATTCCAGGGACGTTTTCGTGCTTACCTTCTTCTCCCGCATGCTTAGAAGCCTTTGGACCTCTTGTGCAATGAGGAAACCCCAGGGTAGCTGTGGGCAGTTGGCTGAGTAGAACCAGAAATGTAAACATAGTCTGGCAACTGTCAAACAAACTAAAACAAACAAAAAACACATTTTAAAAAGGCCCCTAGCTCAGCACTTTGAGTTTCTGTCGAACTGAATCACCAACCTGTTGTACTCAAAACCTAGGCACAAGAGCGCCGGCGCGCGGTTTCGGTCGCCGGGACCCAACGCACGCCCAGAAAGCAGCCCCCGAGAGCGCCTGGGACAAACGCCGCGCCCCGGGACCCTGCCGAGGGCTCATGGGGCACCTGTCGCCGCAGGCAACCCTCGGCTATGTGTTGGAATCCAACCCAGTCCGCCAAGGTAGCCCCCTCCCGGTAACCCCCACTCCGCCAAGGTCCCGCCGCCAAGCCTCGCACCTGTGTCCCCCTGCACATGTTCCAGCAGCCCCCGGGCCAGAGGCTCGTCTTGGGGCGGTTCCTTCGGCCGCCAGGCCCTCGGTCTCCAGCGCCCTCAAATCTCGGCGACGCTCCGGGCCTTGCTCTCTGCAGGGTCTGGGTGGCCTCAGCGCTCAAACCCGGGAGGCGCCTGGGGTCCGCAGAGGGGCGCCCGGGGAACAAGCGCGGCGCGAGGTCCTGCCTTGGTGCGGGGAGGCGGCCGACGGAGGAAGGGAGGAGGCGGCTACCTGGGGACACCTGGCCGCGCCCCACCTCCCGAGGGCCGGGCCTACCTGCGGCGAGCGGGCGGGCAGTGGGCCGGCGTCTCCCCGGAGCCCACGCTGCGCTCTCAGCCGCCCCAACTTCTGCCCCAGCCCCAGCCGGGCCAGCCTCCTGCTGCCAGTTCTGGCCCCGCCTTGGCGGCGCGGGTGGCTGCTTTTCGATTTGTGTCTGCACTCGGCGTTCTCAATGCTCCTAATTCAGGGAGCATTTCGGTTCTCAGTCCTAAGCAGAACGCCCTCGGCAAGTCCAGGGCTTTTCGCTTTGGGTCCCACTGGGCCAGGAGTCCTGTGGTTACCTTAGGTCAACTGTTCTCAAAAGGGTGGTCCGGGGACGAGGACAAGATATTCATCAGACAAAATACCCTTTATGCGTGATAAGAAATGGGAATGGACTTACAAGTAATTGATTACATTGGTTCTCCAATGGTGGTCTGCCAGGTCTGGGATGTCTCCAAAATCTTTTCCAGGGGTCTCTAAGGGCAAAACTATTTCCATTATAGTAACAATACATAATTTGCCATTTTCACTTTCATTCTCTCAAGAGTGTACAGTGGAAATTTCCAGGGACTATTTGACGTGTAATAACGTCATCACTCTGTCTCCTAATAGAATGCCTGAGTGCGCGTGCTTGTATTTTCTAGTATTTTCCATAGCAGTATGTTTAAAGTATCAGTATGTACATTTTACAGAGATTTATGTAGATGTATAGAGATTAATAAAATTCATTCTCAGTACTTCTGAACTTAATTTTTTTCTTTTCTTTTTTTCTTTTTCAGAGTAGGGAGTCTCACTTTGTTGCCCCGGCTGGCTCCTTAAACTCCTGGGCTCAAGAGATCCTCCTGTCTCATCCTTCAGAGTAGCTGGAACTACAGGTGTCCACCAACTCTCTTGGCTACTGCTTTTGCACTTTGATTAGTTCTCTTGGTTCATATCTACTAGGATAGCTATAACCTCATTTTTCTCAAATAATTATCTTGAAATCTTGATCTTTTCCTTGAGTCTCTGCATAAACATAACAAAAAGTATGCTATGTTGTCTTGATTTCAAATAATACTTTGAAAATTTCTCAGTTTTAATGTTAGATAATAAATATCATTAAATGCAATTCACATAAGTGAAAGCTCTTTGGGGTCCTTGATAATGTAAAAGAGTGTAAAAAGGTCTTGATTAAAGACTTCAAGAACTGCTGCATCAGGTAATGAATGCAGCGGGTGGACAGAGGACCTATGCCAGGTGATGGTCACAACCTTCTTTATCCAAAGAACATGCTTAACAATTCTTTGAAACACTATTTACGCTTTGGTCAAAGTGACCTGGCACTTGATGGGGGCCAAGGGAAACATTTTTCCTCCTTCATTTTTTTTTTTTTTTTCTTGAGACAGAGTCTTGCTCTGTCACCCAGGCTGGAGTACAATGGCACAATCTCAGCTCACTGTAACCTCCACCTCCTGGGTTCAAGCGATTCTCTTGCCTCAGCCTCCTGAGTAGCTGGGATTACAGGTGTCCACCACCATGCCTGGCTAAGTTTTTGTACATTTAGGAGAGAGGGGGTTTCACCATGTTAGCCAGGCTATTCTCAAACTCCTGACCTCAGGTGATCCGCCCACCTCGGGCTCCCAAAGTGCTGGGTTTACAGGCATGAACCACCATTCCTGGCCTCAAATTTTTGACTAATTCAATTTTTACCAAATTCTGTTTTTCTCCTCCCAAAGGATATTGCCTATTTTATTATGATTATTGATATTCAACTGAATTCTTCTTAAGTTTTCTGCAGAAATTTTGTTTTCACTGATTCCTTCTAGGCAGTGTGTTTCCTTTTCCTTCTTCCAATCCCTCCCTCTTCACTTTCCATTTGTCTGCCTCGTGGTCTAAACTGTTTCTATGATGGATTCTTCCCTCCCTCTTATTCAAGCAATTGAGATCAGACTATGAAGAGGCCAGACATGGTTTATTGTGGTTGAACACAAGAATAGGAAACATTTTCACTAGAACACCCATTTTCCTGTTTATTCACTGAGTCAAGCTAGAGCACTGAGCCCTCCTGGTGGGGAGATGGACACCACAGCGTCTGTTATGGAGGAGAACTTAATCTGGCTGAGACCTGTGTCTGAGAATGTGGGCCTGTAAAATTCTCATCAAGTGCAAGAACTGACTTACTCATTTTTGCATCCTCCATAGTACCCAGGGGAGTGCTTTCTACATCGTTCATGCTGAATACATTTTAATGGAGCGAAAGCAATTTATTTTCAGGTAAGAAAACTGCTTCATTTCCCACTACTTTGGGGAGAGGCCAATGGTCAAATGCCTCATGCTATGGAATCAGCAGTTGTGAACTTTGATGACATTCCTTGGTAGAATGAGTCCACCCACATATCTGGATATTTGGACCAAAACAAATGAGGCCTTGTGCTTACATCAAACATCAGAGTTTATAGACAGAGAGGGAGGCAGACAGAGAAATGAAAGTCTGTTTCTCAGTAGTAAATTACATCCCTGTGTGTTTCCCTGTAACATTGAGTCCTAGAGAATGTTACAGCATTTGGCAGCATGCACACAAACTTCAGTCACTATGGAGCTGCAAGATATTTTGAGGTTAGATGGCAAAGAGAGAAATGAGAAAAACCAGTAACAACAGTGCCCAAGATAGCTGATTTCTTCTATTATTTCCTTGCTGTATTCATTTTATTTTGTGCCATCTGCTATTTAAAGTTATAATATTCTTGGTCGGGCACGGTGGCTCACACTTGTAACCCCAGAACTTTGGGAGGCCTAGGCGGGCAGATCATGAGGTCAGGAGTTCGAGACCAGCCTGGCCAACATTGTGAAACCCTGTCTCTACTAAAAATACAAAAAAATTAGCCGGGCATGGTGGTGGGCACCTGTAATTCCAGCTACTCGGGAGGCTGAGGCAGGAGAATCGCTTGAACCTGGGAGGCAGAGGTTGCAGTGAGCCAAGATCACGCCATTGCACTCCAGCCTGGGCAACAAGAACGAAACTCCATCTCAATAATAATAATAATAATAATAATAACAACAACAATCATAATGTTATAATATTCTTATGCCTTTCTTCCAAAGCATTTTTAGTGTTCTTACAGATAGTGTTTTTCTTATTCTGGTTACCTGTGGAGTTGGGCTAGATATTATAATTCTCATTTTACAAAGAGGGATACTGAAGCATGAAGTAAATGAATAGTCATCGGCCAAGTAGTAGCCTAGTTCTTGACTCCATTGCCTTTTGTTTTCTTTTTTTTTTGAGTTGTTATCAAGCGATAAAGGGCAGCAGGTAAAGACTTACTTAGTTTCAGAGGAAATAAGAAAAAAATCAGAGCAATGAGATTAATGGACTTGGATTAATGTGATAATGCATCTCTGAATTTGAGCACATACCCACCCACTTACCTGTGTGAATTCAAGAATGAAATGAAAACTCACTTCACTGTGTGGGCATGAGGGTGGACTCAAGGACTGTGACAGGAGATGTTAAGGTTGCAGCCATGAAGCTCTGTAAGTAAAGTCACATCCACATCCTTAAAGACACATCGATGACTATCATTAGCCTCTTCAGGAGATGCAACTTTATTGAACTTGCTGTTTCCGTGACATTTTAGTCTTGACATTTCAACATCAATTGTTTGCTGTTTTAGTTTATCTCAGTATACTCAGCAAGTGAGAAATGAAAGACTCCTACTGTTCCAGGTTGATTATATATCTATATGCAGGTATTTTCGGATTCAACAAATCGGTAAAGGGGTTAAGAATTTTATTTTAAACATTTGCTTAAAGCCCTTTAAGGACACTTTTGAACAGAACTTTTATTTAATTCTACCATTTAAGAACAACGATTGTTAATAATGAAAAAATTAAATAAAAGAACACTGTGAGGGATCATCTGATTTCATGTCACACTGTGAGTAGTAATAAGGCCTATGTGTCATGCTGAAAATATAGTAATCTTCATAGCTCTTTGAGTGCACTGGAGCTGCCCCCAGGAACCTATGACAGGGACTTGTGTCATGGCTGGCCACAGAACTGTCACTCTGTACTGATGTTGGCATTTTTACACCTATTATACACTTATCAGCCTTATTTTCTCATCATAGTCTTGCTTTCTGAGTGCCACACAATTTTTGGCCTATTTTTTTGTAAACTCATATTCAGGTAATCATGATATTCTAAGCAAAGATTACTTGGCATCAATTGCAAAACCGTACTTTCCAAACACAACATGTGAAAAAGGAGTTTAAACAAATTATGCATTTCTAGCCATGCAATTGACAGTGTTTAAGAATCATTGATTAATTCTGCATTAGAGGCCGAGCGTGGTAGCTCACGCCTGTAATCCCAGCACTTTTGGAGGCCGAGGAAGGTGGATCACCTGAGGTCGGGAGTTCGAGACCAACCTGGCCAACATGGAGAACCCTATCTCTACTAAAAATACAAAATTAGCTGGGCGTGGTGGCGCATGCCTAGAATCCCAGCTACTTGGGAGACTGAGGCAGGAGAATTGCTTGAACCTGGAAGGTGGAGGTTGTGGTGAGTCGAGGTGGCACCATTGCACTCCAGCCTGTGCAACAAGAACGAAACTCCATCTCAGGAAAAAAAAAAAAATCTGCATCAGAGAAAGACAATAATGAAGTGTTAATGTTGTTGGTACTGACTGAAAGACACACATTACATGGAAGTTCTATTAGGAAATATACCAACCAGGATCTGTGTATCCTCCTTTGGTGAAGGATTCTCCTTTATTATTTTATGTACTGCCCTGGCTTGACACTCTCAAATGAAGTGTGAACTGAGAGTTTTGTTTTGTTTTGCTTTTTTGGAGACAGGGTCTCACTCTATCGCCAAGGCTGGAGTGCAGTGGCAGTTTCATGGCTCACTGCAGCCTTAACCTCCTGGGCTCAAATGATCCTCCTGCCTCAGCCTTCAGAGTAGCTGGGACCTCAGGCATATGCCATCATACCTGGCTAATTTTTGTATTGTTTGTAGAGACAGGGGTTTTGCCATGTTGCTCAGGCTGGTCTGGAATTCCTGGGTTCAAGTGATCTTCCTGCCTTGACCTCCCAAAGTGCTGGGATTACAGGCATGAGCCACGGCACCAGGCTTAACTGACTTTTGAAGTATAAAATGTGGATTTTAAAGCATAGTTTCTTTTACTGATGCTTACTGATGGCTTTAGTAAAGTTTATGGATGTTCCTTACCCACTGTCGACATTTCAATCCTGACAGTCCCTTGAGAGCCAAGGAGCAAAATTTACCCATGTTTGTATTTTTGCTGCTTAGTACCTCACTTGGCTGGCATGTAGCAGGACTTCCTGATTGTTAAGTGAATGAAA